TTGCTAATGAATAGTGATACTGACCATGTCTTCATGTGCTTATTGGTATTTGTATATCTTCTTTGGAGAAATGTCTACTCAAATCCTTGCCTAATTTTTTATCAGATTGGTTGTTTTTGAATTATAGGAGTTTTATATATATTCTGAATATTAATCCCTTATCAGATACATGATTCACATATCTTTTCTCCCATTCTGAGGGTTTCCTTTTCACTCTGTTGATAGTGTTCTTTGCACAAAAGTTCTTAGATTTATGTAGTGCTATTTGTCTATTTTTGCTTCTGTTGTGTTTACTTTTGGTGTTACATCCATGAAATCATTGTCAGATCCAAGGTCATGAAGCTGTTCCTCTAACATTTTTATAGTTTTAGCTCTTATGTTTAGGTCTTTGATCCATTTTGAGTTAACTTTTGTGTCTGGTGTCAGGTAACGGTCCAACTTATCTTTTGCATGTGAATATTTAGCTTTCCCAGCACCATTTGTTGAAAAGATTGTCGTTTCCCCGTTGAATGGTCTTGACACTCTTGTCAAAAATCCTTTGGCAAGGTTTGTTTCTGGGCTTTCTATTTTATTCCATTGATCTGTATGTCTGTCTTTATGCCAGTACCATGCTGTTTGGGTTACTGTATTTTTGTAGTAAGTTTCCAATTGTTTATTTTTTGTGTGTAGAAAAACACTAGTGGCTTTTAATATTAATTTAATAATCATATATCTTGCTGAATTCTTAGAGTTTTTCAACTGATTGCACAAGGATATAATTATGTCTATCGCAAATAATTATAAATGCTACTTCCTCTCAATATTTGTCTTTTTTTGTCTAACTGCATTAGTTTTAAAACAATGTTAAATGATTATGCTGGCTATGTACTGTATTTCTTTTTCTCATTTCTGCATTAATGGAAATTCTCCTAATATTTCATTATAGAATATGATGTGGCTTTTGGTTTGAGATATATTCCTAAACTTTTGAGGTTGACATCAAAAAGCTTAATTGAAATTTGGCACTTAGGTGCAGTTTGTTTCTTCTTGCCATTATCAGGAATAGAATGTTTGTCTGAAGGTATCATGGAAGAATTACCCACGACAGTTTTTGAGTATCTCTCTTTCTCTCTCACCATGATGTTTCAGAGGATCTTAAATAATTGACCTTTTCTGTTTTTTTTTTCCCAGAATGGCCAAAGTTTTTTAGTCTTGGATGAGCAAAGATTTGCAAAAGAAATTCTTCCCAAATATTTCAAGCACAATAACATGGCAAGCTTCGTGAGGCAACTGAATATGTGTGAGTATGGACAACAGTTTTTTTGGAGTGCTGTTATCAACCACCAGTTAAACCATTTTTTTTTCTCATTAGGTTGATAAAGGAAAATATATGCCATGCAAGCACCACTAATTTTTCACTCTTGTCTATGTTAGTCATTTGAATTTTGAATCTTTTTCAGATGGGTTTCGCAAAGTAGTACATATTGACTCTGGAATTGTAAAACAGGAAAGAGATGGTCCTGTTGAATTTCAGCATCCGTACTTCAAACAAGGCCAGGATGACTTGTTGGAGAACATTAAAAGGAAGGTGAGTTACTATTAACGTGAACTAACATCTCACATTAGAGTATTGACATGGATGGAGTATGTTTGGCAAAGATTTTTATTTCAGCTGCTGAAATTAAGAATGTTCAGAAATACACAGGTATTCCTTTTTAAGATGAATTAGACCAATAAAACTTTAATTAATTATTTGCCTCTATTCCCCACCTCTCAGCTTTACTGAGGGCTCAGTCTTCAGACACTTTCTAGAGGAAGGAAAATGTTTATATTCTAATTAAGGGTGAGGAGTCATTCATTATAATGGGATGGCTGACTCCTAAGTTAGGTAAAAAAAAAAAAAGTTAGCTCCCACTAGTATACTAGCTCCCTAGAGGGCTTTTTCTGTAGTTCAGTGTTTTGTATCCAGTACCCCCAGTAAGTCTCTTACACATAGTAGGCATTTGGTAATACATTTTTGAATGTATTTCTTTTGCTAAAATATTTTACTAAATCCATAAAAGGGGTGGACTATGAAAGAAAATGGCCTAACATGTAGCATTTACTGCATAAATTTATTTAAACATGGAATGTTGTAACAAACTTGGGGAAATTACAGGAAATTTGGCAGAAGGGGGACAAAAAGATCCTAAGATGGTCCTGCTCGTGGAAACTTAAAAAATAAGCTGATTACTCCTTATTTCCTCTCCCATTTAGCTATGAAGTTTATTCTTTCTCTAGAATTTCATCCTGGGCTTTTGGAACCAGATCTCAATTCCTGAACAGGCTACAAAAACCTCTTATCATAGGGAAGCTTTGCATTACAATCACTGGTGTTTAGTATTTGTTTGATTTTCTAAATTTACCTTTTGAAAGGTTTCGTCTTCAAAACCAGAAGAAAATAAAATTCGTCAGGAAGATTTAACAAAAATTATCAGTAGTGCTCAGAAGGTTCAAATAAAACAAGAAACTATTGAGTCCAGGCTTTCTGAATTAAAAAGGTAAAGTATTATTTCCAAATATGATTCTAATTTGGGGGTTGGGTGTGTGTGTGTTTGTTGGAGATTGGAGGTTGTCTGGTGCTTTAGGTACTTAGATCACTTTGTTTAAGCCAAGATCAAAGGTCGTTTTTCGGCAACTATTGGTTCCTTTTGTGGCCATCAACGTTACTG